ACCCCATTGCTAGCAATATACCCAACCAGGTCGACCTCCTCGCGGTTTCGCCTGGAAACTATCATGGTTAATTCCTGACGATTCCATCATCATGATGGGCAATCTGGCCTGTTTTCATTCTCATCTATCACCCTTCACTGGGGCCCCGCCAGCGTATCCCGTTAGCGTATGCGGGGATACCATTATCACCCATCAAAAAAAAAATATACGAAACTAACTATAATATATACTATTATATATATCTTAAAAGGATGCTAAAATTTTATCCTCATTCCGTAGATATATTTTGGTTTCTAGAATAAATAACTTTACTAATTTAATTCCAAAAACTCTCTAGTTATAACACGTTTAGTTCTCGCAGTTTATTCAGGTAATTGCGTGGTCTATGTCTAATTGCGTCTGTGGTAATACCGATTCCCTTTATTGTCCTCTGAAACCAATCATGTGACAAAGCCTATTGTCGTACTGGGATTAGTTCCGTGCACGCAACCCCTAAATATACTCCTATATTTATTACTAAAACATTATTTATTGTCCATAAATTTATTTACTTGCTTCTAATAAATGTACTAAATTTAGGCAACCAGGGGAGGGGGGGGGGGGAAGGGATGATTAGTAATGAGGTCTAAAATCGCTATTGCTAGCAATATACCCAACCAGGTCGACTTCCACGCAGTTTCCTCCGAAAACTAACGCGATTCATTCATGAATCAGTCATTATGGGCTAACTATCTTTTCCGTCTTACCTATCATCCCTCACTAGTGCTCCGCCAGTGTACACTACTAGCCCAGTCGAGGTTGTTACCCATTAAGGGTTATGATGAAATAGCAAATAAATACTAGGGTCTCAGCTCAACCGTTAACTGTCCACTGCTGGACATAGGCCTCTCCTATAGAGGGGATTTGTCAATAGTTGTCATACATGGCAGGCGGGTTCGTAACCGCAATTAGGCTTTGGTGATGTTTTAAGAGGGACGCTGCTGCCCATCCTTCGACCATTTAGTTTTTAGTTGCCTCTTATGACACTCACAAGAATTAATAATAATAATAATATAATTTATTTGCTCTAATATGGGTATTACAGATGTTACATTAATAGGTTATTACGCCTCCATATTTTACCATAAATGGCGTGCAAATCTTCTCTTAATATAAATATTACTCAATTTCATATATCACAATGTCTTCTTTATAATAGATTACAGAAAAAAAAGAAAACCACTACATCAAAATTTGTCTTGTCTCTTGTCTCATGGGAATACAACGCAGTCATTTATCGTTTGTTTAATTTTTAAAACTATCTGACATATATTCATTTAGAGTGTAGTATGCTTTGTCAATCAGTATCTTCTTTAGTTCCTTCTTAAATAGATGCAAATGACTAATGTCTTTTATATATTGGGGCAATTTAGATTAATAAACAGCGATTAATTAAATTAAAAATATTATATTCATTTATTCATTAAGCAATGATTTTTCCTAAAGCCTCCAATGCCATTATAACTGTATATATTCTCGGCAAATAAGCAAAGAAATACCTGATCAGCATAACAAACATAAATAATTAAATTTCACTGGACTCGGAAGTCAACCAGTTAGTTACAAGTCGATTAACTATCCACCCAAGGAACTACAGAAGCCCCTACTCTGGTTATTTCTCTCGCAAACTCATCGTTTAACACACGCGGTGTCTCACTCCAACACTTACAGTTGAAGAGAGAACAATATATTTCGGATAACACTAAAGAATATAGTTTTAGTAGAGGTGGCGCTACGGTAGCGGAGACATTATCACAGCAATCAAATACTCGTTAACACCAGCACTGATATACTCCCTTTCGTCGTGGTGCTAAATTGAATTGAACTTTACTACTCTGAACTTTGAATGTAAAACCCAACAACGCCCTATCTTGGTTAATTTATGGATCGTAAAGCTAAGTGGACTTAAACTAGATGCTTTCTTTATTTTCCAGGATATTTAAAGCTTTGTTACAAAGGTCCGTGGAAGTGTAGGGCTTCGTTTAATAGGTATTGTGTTAATTACATATTAATTTATAAGCACTTAGCCTAGTGTAGACGACTCAGTGGTGGTTTTAAGCCATTTTGGTGTTTACTATAATAAACTAGCTGTAACCTCCAGCTTTACGTGTTGTTTAAGCAGTATTATACGCTTCAATATGTCTTAACTTCAATTAATCATAATTTATTCCCAATGGGCAGGATCTCAGTCTCTTATAGCCTATGATCTAGTAAAAAATGTAACTAGGATTGTCGTTGATTCACGCTCTCTTCCGTTCGTCGACGCTTGAAAAAGCAAGCGTGTCTCTGCGATTATATTTCAGTTATTCAGTAAAATATAAAGATATAATTCATTCCATATTGTTCAAACAGAATACTTTTTTTTCAATGGACGATAATGAAATGGTTACTCGATCTGCGTTATCGGTATACATTGCCGGGGTACCAGTGAGGAATGACAGATGAGCATGAAAGCAGAACTGTTAGCCCATCGTTACGAATGCAACAAGTATTAGTCACAAAGGTTTCCAGGGGGGTCGCGTGGAGTTCGACCTGACAGGGCTTGCTAGTAACGGGACTCATTACTAACAATCCCCTTTCCCCCCAAACAGAACACTAGTCAGTGTATTTAGAAAGAATAAATCAGAAAGTGGATTCAGTAATTTTCGGTTTCATTTACCAAGCCATAAAACCACGTGTGCCCACGATCAAACATTGTTTGAGTGGACACGTGAATAAAATTAGTTAATTAGTAAATTTGGTCCATCCATCTAACATTCTAATCTGTTTAGCCATGAATAAATAAGAGGTTGTACCTCTTGACTTCGCCTGTGGTCATTTCGTGATGCTGCATAGCTTATAATCTGGCTCAAGAAATAAGTAACGAAAAATGCAAAAATATTTTTCCAAATCCGTCTGATAGTTGCAGAAATTAGTGCATTCAAACATACAAACCCTGTAGCTCTATTATATCAGTACAGATTTGTATATGAATCAACAGTAATTTTTGTTTGTAAATGAAGAAAAGAAATCCTATAATGCTGACCGCAAATAATAGGCTTGAATATGACAATGTAATTCATTGTCTCGTTCACTCGTTGTAAGAAATGACATTGGAGAAGACATAATTGTGACATAAAGTATTTTAGCTGCCAACAATAATAATGTTAGTACTGCTACCATAAATGGTACATTGATCACATCAAGTTGTATAGGAGTCCAGATAAAGTCACGCACCGGCACACAAGTTAAACAACGTGCATATTTTCGGCATGTATCAAAGCGGACGATCAACGGGCGTCCAATATCGGGCCAAACAAAGGCTTACAAGAGTTTAGGTCACGCCCACCGTACTGCATATTCAACGCGGGACTATAGTCAACAGCATTTAGTAGAGGAGCTCATCTCGTTTTTACGTATATATTTGAAAATTTAGATCCTCTATTATTTTTAATATAAGTGTTATAAAATCACATTGATTTCCCGGTCCTCAAGCTAAAATAAGCCTGTACGTGCAGGATTATCATCCATTCCGAATATATATATAATCTATACCTAAGTCAATTCAGAAGTTTAAGTTTTCTAAATTATCCTGAACCGGGTACCGAATCTAGGACTTCATTTATACAAAGCATAATACTTACATCACATAACATTAGAAACCTCTAAAATTATCAGTGTTTCTCTACTATATTCTGCATGTATTATACATATAAACCTTCCTCTTGAATCACTCTATCTATTAAAAAAAGCCGACTCAAAATCCGTTGCGTAGTTTTAAAAAATTAAACATACATAGGAACGGACAGACAGCGACAACAACTTTGTTTTATACTATGTAGTGATTATTCATTACTAAGCTAACAATAGATTTAGTTTTCGTATGCTGCTTGTGTAAAAATAGCATATGCCATTAATTATACTGTTTTTAAATTGCCAAGCTCATATCCTTTATTATCTGGAACATTTCTTAAAAAATCACTAAGTGAATATTCCACGTGGAATCATATTTTTCTTCTATTACTATTGACATTATTCTTCTTCTTCTGTAGTCCACTATTCGGGGTTGGGCTTCTTTACATTTTTGCGCCAGAATATTCAATTCTAGTTCGTCATTTTTGGCAATTGGGCTTCATTGAATTTCAATATTATTTAGTAATAAAATAGTATCAGTTACAATTAGGTTTCGGGCTCTCGTACTAAGCAAAGCTACCGATGCGTGTTGACCAATATGTGAGCTACACTTCATCTCAGAGATACGACTACTGATCCCTGCATTTGCATAGTTTCTACAGTATGGACTACCTTGATATGTTTGTATTTATTACCGCCACATTGCTACGAAAACTTTAGAACAAATTCAGTCGGTAGATATTACAAAAGAACAAAGGAAATTACCACAGCGACAGTGGACAATCATTCATAGTATATTAACTATTAACTGTCCACTGCTAAACATGTACCTTCCTCATAAGGGAAATTTTTCCTGCAGTTGCCACGTTTAGCAGGCGGGTTGTTAACCGCAGTTAGGCTTTGATGATGTTTTGAAAGGAACGCTGCTGGTTATCATTAAGTTCCTTTAGTTACGATACCCATGGGAAAGGAAGTGGTGGCCCATTCTATGTTAGTCCCATTCATGCTTATGTTATTATTATACCATTAATATGAAATCCTATTCATCCAGCTACGGTTCATGAATGGTATATAACTAACAAAAGGCGTTCCTATAAAGGTTGCAAGTTTAAATGATATTTTCCTTTGGATATTGGATAGTAAGATCATTATGCAGCCGTAGCTAATTACAAAAAAAGAAGATTTTCAAATAGTTCGTTAGTGATATCACAGTGTATGGTGCTAATCATGTTTATTGGCATGGCTTATAGTTTTCCATCAGGTGGTTCGTCAACTCGTTTGCCATTCTATGTATCATCAGAAAAAACGCTAATATCATCGATCTGCAGTTCAGAATATTAAAATCAGTGTTAGTATTTGTTGATATTTATTTTAATACTATTGAATGACCTTTATTACAAATCCTTTTGTGCATTTTTTTTACTTGGTTATCAATTATATACACATATTAAAATCAGACGAATATCTGCACTTGGTAATCCAATCCCTCGCCACGTGCACTTTTCAGTCGAATGTTAGCAAACGTGCTGCCCACACCGCCGGCAGTTACTATCGCTGTAGCGTTAGTTTTGACAACTTCTACTGCTGATATGCCCTGCAAAAAAACATAAAAATTTTTTTTATACAACTTAGAATGGCAAAAAAGCTGACGGCCCACCTGATGGAAAGTGGTAACCGTCGCCTATAGACACGAGCAGTACCATGGACATAACAGAGTACACTGTTTCACCCATGATACCCCCCCATGCGTTGTCATTCCTGAGGACTTAGGTGTTATTCCTCTGCACCCTGTACATTCACGCCATATCCCACCCTTCAAACCGAAACACAGCCATGCAAACATATGCGAATGTGACAGAGGTACCTAAGCAAACGACTTTTGTACAAAGTCTCCCTCTGGTTATACAATTGAGAATGGTAACCATCGTGTGGTTACAGCATGGAATAGGCCATCCCTTTTTTCCCTTGAGTATGGTAAGAGACGACTAAGGAAACTTGAAGATCGAAGGATCGAAGGAAGGATTGAAGAAGAAGGATCATTTCACATATATTGTTGTTTTCAATCGAAAAAGCAATTCCATAGATATTATTTTTACACTAACTAATATAAACTAAAGAGTAGTAAAGAGTAATATTGTGCTAATGTTGATCTTATTACAATTGACTTTAGTTTGATATTACAAAAAACAAATTTTTTACCTTGATGGTCCTGGGATTTTTTTCATCATTGTAGAATACATTTTTCGTTCTAATCTTCAGAGGAAAAGAAGACAGCTTCACATTCTCCATATAGGCCAGCTGGCCATTTAATGAGGTCCCCAAATTCAAATCGGTGGCTGTACCCAAACTGATACATAACACTGCGACAATTGCAACACAAATGGTTAGAGACGTCATTTTTGTATGGAATTGTATGATTCACTCTGTAGGCACACAATTTCTTTCAGCTCTTAATATAGTTTGAGGTTCCTATCGATTTCTTATCAGTAAACGATGACTCACTTGACTGATATTGATAGTTTGTTAAGGCACGTTTACTCATATATTTATTCGCTTTTATAGTCATGATCTTTCTCGAATAAGAAGGTATAAAGATAATGTTTTAAGAAGAGTATTAAATATCAATGACGCTAAGGGTATAGGAAGACCTAAAAAGAGATGATTCGGTTGTGTTGTTGTTTTTTAATGAGTGGTAATGGAATGGTAACCCTAATACCCTAATGATATACGCTGGTAGATTATCAGTGAAAGATGACAGCAGGTCTGTTGGCCTATCGTGATAAATTTATCTAGAATAAAGCACAATAGCTTCCACAGGGAACCACGAAGGAAAGGAATAATTGTTGAAATAACTGCAAGAGTTGAAAGGAAGAAGAAAAAATATTATGTTGACCTCAAATGAAGAGGTAAAGGAAGCAAGCAAGAATTTTAATTCTTTTCACCTGGTTGAAATCGGAAGAAGGGATTATGAGTTTAGCAATCTGTCCATGAGTGAAATTTTAATAAATCGCAGTTTTTTGTACATTAATTGGTCGTTTATATTAATCACCAGAGGGAGACCAATTGTTGTAAATCCACAATTTTTTTATTGTAATTCACATGGCTATGTTATAGTTTTAAAAATGAGACTTGGCAGTGATACTATATAGTACTGAGGCATAATACATTTCAGGTAGAGCAACGTACGAGAGACACGATGTAGGAAGATGATGATGATGACAGGTCAATAGGAGACCAATGAGGTTACTATTTTCCATCAAGTGGACTTGTTTGTAATTCTATTTTTACTACAACGTGGATAAGGGTATAGGTAGTTCAAATTACATTTTACTATAACATCACCATACTATATCATATTAGCTCTTAACTGTCCACTGTTGAACATAGACGTTCCCCATAAGGGGAGATTTTCCAGTAGTTGCCACGCTTGGCAGAAGAGTTGGCTAATGCAGTTAGGCTTTGGTGATTGATATTTTAAAAGAGACCGTGCTGCTTATTCCTCGAAAACACCTAAAACACACATAAAACACCCTTAGTTTCCTCTAACGACAGCCACAGGAAAGGAAGGGGTGGTCCAATTTATACCGGAACCACACGCCAATACCATTGATAGTATGTATCTACACATAAACGTTGCATTTGCACCAAAATGGATTCCGATACGTAAATAAACGTTTTGATATTCAAAGCACGCCCGTGACGGCACTGCAATAACGTGTTTGTCATACGAACACACGGAATGAGCTGTAAAATTGAAATAAGCCATTTTCTATTGGTATTTTACAATTAAATAACAAAATCCGATGGTTATATATTTTTTTATAGCACTGAGGTGGCAAACAAGCATACGACCCACCTGATGGTAAGCGGTTACCGTAGCCTATGAACGCCTGCAATACCAGAAGTATTACGCGCGCGTAGCCGACCCTGAAAAAACCTCTTTACCCCCCTTTTGAAGAACCCCATGCTGTAGTCTCTTAGGAAAACCTCGGCAGGGAGCTCATTCCACAACCTGAGTGTTCGTGGGAGAAAAACATCTCTGAAACCGCGTTGTACGCGACCATTTAGGCTGTAGGGTATGAGGGTGAACTCCCTGTGGCGAGCCGTACGATGATAGAAAGTGGTCGTAGGCATCATATTGAATAATTCCTCTGAGCACAATCCGTTGTACAAGCGGTAGAACACGCAAAGTGAGGCGTATTGTAAAAGGAAATTACTGAATTCACTGTATTTGTCATTTTCGACAATTGTTCTAACTTGATCCGGAAGTCTTCTTCAAAAACTACTTCTTCTGAATTCAAAGAGTTCTTCTGTTTTCTAAGTTCATTAATTTCCCGTTACATCTAATATATTAAATTCTCGTGTCGCGGTGTTTGTCACCAAACTCCTCCGAAACGACTTTAACGATTTTTATGAAATTTAATGTGCATATCGGATAGGTCTGAGAATCGGCCAACATCTGCTTTTCATACCCCTCAATGGTAAAGGTGACCTACCCCTAAATAGATTTTTTTTTTATTTTTCTGCCAAAATTTTTTATTTTTATTTTATTATGATTTAGCATTAAAAAATACATACAAATTCAAATTTTCACGCTTTTAAGATCAACTCCTGTTTTTTAATCGCGATTTTTATATACCGCAATATGGTTGCATGACGGCAATCGAATATTAATATAATAATTGTAGTAGGATAAATTTTCATGTTTAGTTCTCGAAATGATGTATATGGTAAAACAACGTTTGCCGAGTCAGCTAGTATGTATATAGTAATTAATTAATATCTAACGAATACATCTATTTATAACAACCCTTTCACTATCTCACTTCTGAGCATAAATCTCGTCAGAAGAATATTATTTGTTCCTTCTGCTGTCCTTTAATATACACGTATTAAGAGAAGGAGAAGAACATTTGCTAGTGAAAATTAGTAGTTAATATAAAACTTGATCTAGCGACGCCTTTATATCTTGAATGAGATAAATACATGAATATAACAGACAGTCACCACTCGCGACATCCTATTGATAATAAAATCAGTATTATCATCTACTTATCATATCAATGAAGTCTCCGGAAATCGCGTGCGTTTACCTGATGAGGAAAGTGGATATAGCGATAAGAGATGTTAAATAAATAACTTAAATTGAACTGATACTGGACAGAGGTACCCAAGCAAAGGACTTTTGTACAGTCTCCTTCTGGTATAAAGTTGCCTTTCAAAAACCTTTTTCTCCATTGGTTACTTATGCTTCGAGCTATATGACCAGACCATTGTTTTTACACTTTAGTTCTTTTGCGGATATCCTCGTTTCGGCTTCTATCACAGTAAAAAACTCCAAGCATAGCCCTCTCCATAGCTCGCTGAATAACTTGAAGCTCTTGCATGCGGTCAATCCTGAAGGATCATGTTTAGGTCTACTTACAATATAGGAAATTTTTATTATGTTATTTGCTGAGAAAAATCCAAAAGATACTCGTCAATTTTTTTTTTTTTTTTTCACAACACAGGGGGCAAACGAGCATGCGGCTCACCTGATGGTAAGTGACTACCGCCGCCCATGATCACCCACAACACCAGCGGCATTGCAGGTGTGCTGCCGGCCTTTAAACTATTCGTTGTGTCAACTGTATCGCAATAAAGTTCATTTATACCAGCTGAGTTTTTTTAGATATTCCAGCCCACAGGTCTTTTCTATTTTATTACAAAAACCTATTACGTCTCCACTTAAAAGCTTTGAAAACTCGTGAACTGCGTAACGATAAAGTGATTCAGTGTCTGCCAATTTATTCTGCAATGGCTTTATCAAAAGTCGGATACATTAACACCAGATGCGACCGGCGCCGGGTACTGGGCCGCCCCTTAAACTTTTCGGCCCGACATATAGTAATGAAATGGATCGCTCTCACATTTGTTATGTGCGATTTTTTTCTGCCATAACCGACGGAATGGTGGGTATAAGGGATTGGATCTGTGATGGGTTTCGTATTTGTTTGACTTTCGGTGAAACGAATTGGATTTACTTTTCTGGATACCTACTTTTTATGGACGAAGTTATCGGTTTATTTTTTTTTTCTACCACATCGTCCTGAACATAGATACATGGTCTATGAATACAAACAACCGAAACCCGAAGAGAACTTTCCACTCCCAATTAAATAAAGACATAGTGGAGAACTTAAGTGAAATTAACTTCTTAGATATTAAGTTAGATATTATGATTGGAAAGCACATATAAAAACCTAATAAATGTGATTACGCTCTAAAAACTGTTCTAAAAAAAGCATGTCAAGAAACAGCTTTTATTCCTTATACTGTGGAGAAATTTAATTGATTTCAAGAAGGCTTTTGTTATAATATATAAAATAAATGTTAGTATATATAAGAGGCAGAATTATTTGTAAAAAAAGCAGAGATAATTAAAGAAATATACGAAAAAAAAAAATTATCCAGCGACTCGACTAATTTATTTCTTCCAAATTCGAACTCTGTACCAAACGTGTATTTACCAAAAAAATTTTAATTTATGACAATAAAGTTATACAATAACATATCAAAATATATACGGGGAAAAAATATCACTAATTTATTTTGAAGTCAATTAAAAAGTTGACTCCAGGAAAAAATGTTTTTGTCGATTAAATTATTTGTACTCAAAAAGATTTTGACTTTTAATTATTCAAATGAATTTATCTCATATCACGTTTAAAAATTTGACATGTTATTTGCTGTTTGTAATTTTTATATACTGGCAACACTTTCAGTAGTGGTCAGTTAGAGGCCGATACAATTATAATAATAACGTATACACACACACACAAACACGCATACACGCACACACGCACACACACACGCACACGCACACGCACACGCACACGTGCACACGCACACGCACACGCACACGTGCACACGCACACGCGCACACACACACATATCAGTATATATACATATATGTATTGCCTTAATACTGTATATATCTAATTCTATGGACAGCGTTTTCTAGACTCAAATAGACCTAATGCTATAAATATTGGGGGGAAAGGGATTGTTAGTAATGGGGTCTAATAGCTCCATTACTAGCAATATACCCTCTCAGATCGACCTCCACGCGGTTCCCCCTGGAAACCATCATGTTTAATTCTTGTCGAACTCATCATGGGCCAACTGACTTACATTAATTCTCATCTATCATCTTCCACTGGTGCCTTGTCGGTGTATACCGATAGCGCGGGCGGTGTTACCATTCCATTTTCACCCATTAAAAAAAATGCTATTAATATTAGACTGACAGGCAGATATTTTTTTTAATATACATGGTAAAACCAAAATTCAACTTTTGTTAAGGGAATTTTCTACCACAAAAATGAACATTTTTATCAAAGAAACAGGGAGAAGTAACAAAACAAACAAACAGACAAATTTAATATATAATATACATAAATT